TGGGATTACAGGCATGAGCCACCACACCCAGCTGACTTTGATGTGTCTTGATGTGGATTTCTTTGGGTTAATCTTATTTGGGTTTGTTTTTGAATCTGTGGATTTATGTCTTTTGCAAATTTGGAACATTTCAGCCATTCTTTCTTTAAGTACTTTTTCCAGCCTCATATTTTTTCTCCTCTCTTTCCAGATCTCTAATGATACAAATATTAGATATTATAGTCCCAGAGGCCCCTAAGGGCTTTAAAAAGAATCAGCCTATTTGTTCTCTGTTCAGGTTGGATAATATATATTATTCTATCTTCAAGTTCACCAATTATTTCCTCTGTCCTCTATTCTAATGTTGAGCCCATCCACTGAACTTTTTATTTTGGTGGTTGTATTTTTTTTTCAGTTCTAAAATTTTCATCTAGTTCTTTTTTATATCTCTTGATTCTTTGCTGAGATTTTCTATTTCTTTGAAGTAGCTTTATATTTTTCATTTGTTTTAAGAGTGTTCATAATTGCTTATTGAAATATTTTTGATGGCTGCTTAAAATATTTGTTATATAATTCTAATATCTTTCTAATCTCAATGTTGGCATCTATTGATAATCTTTCTTCATTCAGTTTGAGAGCTTTCTGGTAAGTAATTTCTTATTGAAACCTGAATGTTTTAGGTATTACATTATACAACTCTGGATCTTATTTAAATCTGTTTCAGCTGGTTTTCTGACCCTGTGCTAATGGGGGTGGAGTGGGCACTGCCTCAGTACTGCCAGGTCAGAGTCCAGATTTCTCCTGTTTCCACTCACACCTGAAATGGGGAAAGGAGCTCCTCATTACTGCTGAATGGGGTAGGAATTCTGGCTTCTCACTAGGGCTGGGGAGGTGGGTAGGATTGTCTTGTTATATTCCCCACATGGTCTCCACTGACACCATGGGTAAGGATTGCCTGTTTACTGCCTAGCAAGGATTAAAGTCCTGATTTCTTATCCAGCCTCCTCTCATACACCCTAGCAGAGGTGGTGGGGGTGCCTTTTTATAGCCGGGCAAGGGTAGAAGTCATAGTTTTTTTATGGTGTTTTGCAGCAGTAGGAAAATTATTTTCTAAAAGCTTTCCATTTTGTTAGGCTGCCCCTCCTTTCCTGGTCCTATAGCTAGAGAGAAGAAGATTTTGCTGGGGCTTTTTATGTTTGCATCTGTTGGCATTTTGGGGTTGCTGGCTTGTCTAGCACCCAGTCTCAGATGTGCTAGAAAAAGAGAAAAGAAGAAGAAAGGAGACCCAGGGAACTCACTGCCATGCCCTTCTTTGGGTTCTCTGAGGTCTCCAGCCTGTCTGCCTTCTCTTCTCCATTTTTCAGAGTCTTCTTATGTATACTTTATATATAACATCCAAGGTGTTTAGTTGCAACAGGAAAAATAGGGAAAGTACACGTATTCCTATAAGCAAAAGAAAGTCTTATCCTCTCAGTTTATATGGTCTTTATGTTTTTCACATTAAGCAGTTTTAGAGCATATCAGGGTTTGAGATACTTTTGTATAAAAATCTAAATTACTTTTAGAATAGGTCTAATGACAAGGCTGAGTTTTTTCTTGCTGAATCATGCTATATTTAATGTCATTTGAGCCAGCAATTAATGCTACCTCCTTGGATTAAGAACAAAATGTAGAAAGATAGAAACAATTCTGAACTAGAGTTAGAGATCTAGGTTCTAGTTCAGAATCTTCCACTCTACAGCTCTGTGACCTTGGGCAGATCTCTTGGCATCTCAGAATTCTCATCTGAATTAACAATGTTGTTTACATCAGGTATAACTCCCAATGCAATCCCTCCCGACGAGTTGATGGGTGCTGACGAGTTGATGGGTGCAGCACAGCAACATGGCACAAGTATACATATGTAACAAACCTGCACATTATGCACATGTACCCTAGAACTTAAAGTATACTACTACTACTACTAATAATAATAATAAATGAATTAACAATGTTGGACTTATTAGCTGATCTCTAAGTTTCTTCTAGCTGTAAAGTTTTTATTTTCCTCTCATCAGTGCTACTACTTTAAAAAAAAAATATGTAGACATTCTGTAATGCAGGATTTAAAATATGTTGATTAAACTAAGTAAATTCCTCAAAAATAAATAAGACAAATAGGAATCGTTTTTTATTGAATGCTGTGTTCCAGGCACTACAGTAAGTGTTTTATGAATATTCTCTCATCCAATTCTCAAAACTTTGAAGTTAGAAGTTAACTCATTTTATAGATGAGAATGGTGAGGCTCAGAAAGGTGAAAAATGTGTCTAAGAATTTTTTTTGTAAAGGTATAATTGACCCCAAGTTTATTTGATTCCAGAGCTGATGTTTGCAACCACTTATAAAGACTTTTCAAAAAGTTTTTGGCCACTTTTCAAGAGGCAGATTATTTTATAGAAATTGGATTCTAAAGCAATGCTTCTGGGTAGCTAAAATATACATTTTATTTAATTTTTCCCATCACTTTATTCCGCTTGGATTTATTTTTTAACTACATAAATTATGAATACAGAAAATAAATACATACAGCTTTTTTGTTTATTATTATTCATCACTTATTTAGCAGACATAGGGGGCATTATTATCCTTGAGAGGTAAAGGAATAAATTGAGGATTGTAAAATATCATTACTCAAGAGCAAAAATTTAATTTGCCAACTTTCCATAAACTTCATAGTATTGCAAGAACTAGAAGAGATACACTAGAAGTCTCAGGAACTAAGAGATACACTATTTCTATGTATAAATTTTGCTCATTTATGGAGAACGGATAAGGAACCATTTGCAAGACTAATAGTTAATCAAAAGGTGGAGGTCAAGAAAAAATTAAAACTAAAAGAAGAAAGAGAATAGAGCAAATAACGTCAAATTTAAATGTATATAATAACATAAGCACTTTATCACGATATTAGTTCCTAAAAGAATTTCATAAAAAATATTGTTTGGTTTTAAGTAAATTAAATGAGCATGCATTATAAAATGAACTCTTGAATACTTGGCAAGTTGAGATCTTATGATTTCTTGGAAACAAAACTGTGTTTAAAAAAGGTTTATCTTCTTAATTGAAATAAGTTCTATACATTTATGTAAATGCCTGGAATATATTTATGTGGCAAAGACCCTGAAGAGTTTATAAAATGATGATTATCAAGGAAGGGAGGGGATTCCAATATGAAAAGCCAGGTCTACTTTAATCCTTGTTTTATCCTTGCTTTTCATTATGAAGCCCCCCTAACTTTTCCATGGCTCACTCTAGATTTTCTATGTTAATCTGCAGGGGTATTCCAATGGAAATAATTCAGATTTCACTTTACTATGTATTCTCAGAATTACGGAAAGAGCAAATTTGTGATGTAAAGAGTTGTTGCTATATCATTCCTTTATAAGGATGTAGGAAGCTGGTAATTGGCTCTGTAATCTTGTTCTGAGATCAGTGTGCTTTTCTAGGAAAATGATTTTCTCTTCAGAAAGTTGCCATGATTTTGCTAGAGAGCTGGTTCCTGGTTAGATGTTTTATTTTTGCCATAAGCCCATTGTGTGGAATTTTATTTTTGCCATAAACTCATTGTGTGATGAGAGCTTCTAAGAATTTGAAATCTCTGGTGTAGAGCTGTCAAATTATTTATTTTAGGTTTTATTGAAACGGAACAAACAAAATATTATTCATAAATCTATTATAAGACAGAGAAAAACTGCTCAATTCTGGGTGGGGTGGAAGTAGGAATAGGCATACAGCTCTGTCCTTGGTCATTCTACTCATGCATAAAGCATGTTCTATTGAATTCCTTAGAGTCTGGACAACACAGTTTGAAAAACCTTCAGTGAAATACAAAGATCACTAGATTAGAAATCGAAAGATTTAGAATCCCAGTTCTGCTATCAGCAAGCTGTATTACTGAACCTCTATGGGTACAGATTTCCTCATCTGTTAAATAAGGAGAATGAACTAGGTCTCTTTCAGCTCAAATATTTGAGGAAACCATTAGCAACTATATGTAAATCACAAAACTCCTATGCTTTATTTGTTCACTACTGCAAAATAAGATGTTTCCTGGGTAAAATTCACATGCCCACCTCAAAGTTCTAAGTGTCAAGAGATTTTTTTTTTTAACCTTAAGAAATTTAAAGGAGTTCTGTGTGTGAAAATTGCAATATAAAATATCTAATTGTCCTGTTCTAAGCAATTTCAGTATTTCTGACTCTATTTGGGATAACCAGTGGTATTTCATTGATTCATTCAGCAAACACATTGAGTGCCCACTACCTGACAGGAATTGAGTTAGGTATAGAGGACAGAAAAGATGACTAAAGAATGTCCAGTACTCCCCTCCCGATACAAAAAGTAATGTGTTTTTAACAATTTGTGTTTTTCAACGAAACTTTATCTATTGTCTGCGATGATGCATCCTTTCTAAATGATAGGGATGGCGCTGACATTTTAAAACTAAATGAAAAACGAATTGGCATTCATAAAGAACTGCGTATTTAAAACAGTATTTTCTTTACACAGAATGGCTTTATTGTAATAGATCTTTGATCAACTTGAGCAAAGAGTATTTAGTTTTATAGGGTATGAGATGCTTTGCTTTCTGGATAAGCAGGATCTCTCTTAAATATGAAGATGTCTCCAGTGTTTCCAGAGGGAAACTCCAATCTCTCAGCTGCCAGCCATGCTGACATTACCTGAATGATTCTGGATTACTACTGGCTTCTTGAGATGGGCTGGGGTCAAGACAGGGAAGAGTTTTGAATGAAGATGCCAGAAGAGGCCTTTGAGAGGGTGGATGGGAATTGTGAAAGGCCCATTTCCCCTAGACTTAAACCCAAATTCCCTAGCTGTGATACCAGGAACATCCTTTGGGGAAATCTCCCTTTGTTATTCACACTGGTAGAGCTCCCAGCTCAATCCACAACTGCACACCCCCTCACTCTAAGAGTCACTCTTCCCATGGTGGAGCCAACATCCACCCTCTTACTCTAGACGTGGCAGCCCTCCTAGATCCAACCCAACCGTTGACTTACGTTCAAAGGCCATCACCCACCCCAGCACCATCTTCCAGGAACTGGCCTCTCCCCCATCAGTCCCCGCCCCTCTTCTGAGAGCACCCAATGGGTGGAGTCGGGGCTGCGGTGGGAGGGGCCTGAGGCGGGCACATTTAAAGAAAGGCAGCCGGCGAAAAGAGGCAAGAGAGGAGAAGAAAGAGAAACCAGGGGGGCGAGGCGCCGTCCAATGACAAAGCCCAGGGGTGGGCGCCGGCCGCCATCTTGTACCGGGCGGCAGGATATTCGCCCGCGTCCTCCGCCCTCGGAGGGGGAGGGGCGGCGGCGGAGGCGAGAAAAGTAGCGAGAGACGCCAGCAGCGGCCGCCGCCGCGGAGCCGACGCGGACTGGGACGGCGGCGGCAGTAGTGGGACCCGGCGAGCGCGAGCGGCCCCGAGCGGCCTTCGATGCGGCGCAGCATGAAGAGGCGGCGGCGCCGGCCCCCGGTCGCCCCGGCCGCGGCTGCCCGGGGCGGCGACTTCAGGGCAGAAGACGGGGCCGGGTTGGAGGCGCGGGAGGAAAAGGTGGTGTACTCGCGGTCGCAACTGTCGCTGGCTGACAGCACCAAGGCGCTGGGCGACGCCTTCAAGCTCTTCATGCCCCGCAGCACGGAGTTCATGAGCTCGGACGCGGAGCTCTGGAGCTTCCTCTGCAGCCTCAAGCACCAGTTCTCCCCGCACATCCTGCGCAGCAAGGACGTCTACGGCTACTCCTCCTGCCGGGCCCTGGTGCCCGATCCCCCGGGTCCCCCCACAGCCCGCGGCCAGGCGCGCCGGCCGGCTCCGCGCGCCGCGGCCAGGAGGAGGCGCCGCGGAGCCCGGGCGGCAGCTGCCCGCAGGAGGAAGCCCCGGTCACCACCCCCGCCGCCGCCGCCCCCCGAGGAGAGCTGCCCGGCCAAGCCCGTGGTCCCCGGGCCCTGCTTCGGGGGCCGCACCCTGGAGGAGATCTGGAGGGCGGCCACCCCGACGCTGACCACCTTCCCCACCATCCGCGTCGGCAGCGACGTGTGGGGCGAGCGCAGCCTGGCGGCGGCGCGGCGTAGGGCACGCCAGGTCTTGCGAGTGAACCTGGAACCCATGGTGAGGCTCCGCCGCTTCCCGGTGCCCCGGGCGTGAGGCGCGGCCTCCAGGGCGCCTCCTGCCGGCCCCGACCGTGGGACAGAGCTTCCGCCCGGAGGAATGAACAAGTGTCAGTCGAGTGTTTACAGATCCGGCCAGGACCCCGGCCCCCAGTGCACTTTACGCGCGAAGAAGTCACCGGATGGTTGTCCCTGTCCCGGGTCGCGGCGCCGTCGTCTTGGACGCCGGGGCAGGTGTGCCCTCTGCTGCCTCCCGCACCCGGCCTGCGGAGGGAGGGGACAGCTGGATCCGCAGGGGAGGTCCCTTTCTTCCTGACCCCAGATTGAGACGTCTCCAGGACCTTAGGGGCAGATCCGTTTTCTCCCTGTTGGACTCTACCTCACTGGTCTGGAAGTCCTCCGAAGACATTATTTTTCCAAAGGAATTTGGTTTCGTGCTTGTGTAATAAAGCCAGAATTTACTTTGCTCTTTATCTCCCCCTTTTTCTGTTTCACTGCCACCCCTCTTTCCGGACAGAAGTTCGAACATGTGGTGTTGCACTAGTTTGTGCTCAGGGTATTCTGAAGCCCACTCGTTTCCTAATTTTTACTGGATTCCAAAGCTTTGATCGAGGATATTTTTTAAGAGGTTCAAGCTTGTGACTGTTAGTAGTGCGAGGATTTGTATGGGCTCAGTGATTACAAACAAAGACATGCAAAATACGACTGTTTAAACATTTTCAAGGTGTTTTTAAAGGTTTTATATTGAAACTTAATGTTTATATTTACTGAGCTCCTAAAAATGGTAGAATACACATGAAAACTTTTGTTTAGGAAAAGTTAACTTGTTAAATTCTTTTGAATTGAATAAAAAAATGCATTGAAACCATATGGCGTGTGATTAAAAAAATGAATAAATTGTGAAGAACTGGTTTTGGTTACAGGAGTCACTGGAATCCGACTAGAGATGATTTGGCCCCCTGTCCTGGTCTAACATACAAATCCAGGAATATTATGCATTAAAGTATTTTAAAATACATTATCCTTGTAAAATACAAGGATTTTACAATACTTGTATTTTACAAGGATAATGTATTTTAAAATACGAGTTGCATAGGAGAGATGCATGTGTGTAAACATTATGACTAAAATGATAAACAGAATACCCATTAGAATTCTTAGAGCTATTAATGATCAAGAGGGGTGGAGGCATTTCTTGGTATCAAATAACTGGTTGAGGTTACTTTGGGCGAAATCTATTTCCTTTTTGTTTTTGTTGTTGGATAACAAGAAATGTCTAGATTAATACTCATCAGTCTTACAAACATAATGAAAATTAGTTGACTTTTAGTTGACTTTTTTGTCCCAACTTTTTTTTAACCTTCTTGCCACTCATTATATGTTTGCAGTTCTAGGTCTTTGACAGCTGAAGACCGCAGGAATCAAACAGGCGAGCCACACAGAATACTGACCCTTCTTTATGCTTTTATAGTGTTTATACCATATGGCCCAGTGTGAAATTCTTGATTATCCAAGTGCCTTTGGTCATTTGTGGCAGGAAAACTTAATAGTTTTTTAGCCAGCAGTGCCACAGCCAGCTTTTACTGCAATACCTAAAGGGTCAAGGAGTGTTTTTGTACCACTATTATTTCAAATTTAAGTATTCTGCCATGAAACGATCCATACTGGGCTGGAACTTGACATGTGAAATGTTTAATACTAAAACTTATCTCTGCTTGGCAGCTTCTTAGGAAAATAATGAGAGTTGCAATTTTGACTCTTGTGTTCCTAGAATTCAAATGGCATAGCTTTCTGAAATGAGTATTTCAAGTTTAGTAGTCCATATAGGAGTGTTGTGACTTTAATTTCAGTGTTCTTGTTTTCTTAAAAAATTATATATATATATACACACACATATATAACTTGATGCCAGTTTTCTAGTAAGCCTCAGTCTTTTATTCACTACTCAATGATAATGCATTGTACAAACACTGTCACATGAGTAAATAAAAATGAATAATTCCTTAGAAGATGGAGAGTGTTAAATTATATTTGTGATAGGAAGCTTAGACTATTCTTTTGGTTATTAGCTTCCATTGCCAATTGTATTTCAGATGCATAGGGTTTTCTTCCTAAAAATACATTGTTAACTTTTATAGCTAACTAGCACCTGGGAAAAATGTATTTGTACAACTTCACTATTGTATATAGTTTTATAATAATTAAAGATAAACCCAATGGCCATATTAGAATGCAATTTCAACATATAGCTTATCTAGATAGTTTTCCAGAGGATTTTGAAATGTGGCTTAACTGGGAGGATAACTGCTCAGCACACAAGTGAAACATAACCAATGACACCATTCATTTATTTTAACGGAGATTCTTGACATTTTTCTCTCCTATGCCTTGTTACTTTAGCATACTTGAACTCACATAAATGCTTCTTTGGATTACTTGGGCTATCTGATTCCATTTTGGATCTGATTATCCATCTTGAATTCAATAATGGTATTCATTTGGGCTATTAAAAAATTATGCCATTTCTAGTCTGTGAAATAAGATGTAAAAAATCTTTATTTTTGCCCTTTCCTTTGGTTAAAACCTATGTTACAACTTTTAAAATGTGAAGCAACATCTAATGTAGTTGACTGGTATACTAATAGGAAAGTGAAAGTATTTCATGGGTACTTTGTCGCAGAATGTGAAAAGAAACTTGGCATAGTGGCCTTTATGATGAGGCATCCACTTACTGTCCTCTAAAGTGAAGTCTGTAGCTTAGCTTGTGTATAGTTTTTGAAAGAAATCTCATGATCTTCGTTCATTCTCTTGCCTTCTCTTTTATCTTATATGGCACAAGTAGAGGGGGAAGCCAGGAGGAAATTCATCACCTTGCTATGCTTTTATTTGATTTTTAATTCCCGAGTGCCTAAATGTGGTGACTGGCACCTCACATAACTTTTTGAGATTCCTGATGTCATTTTTATCCTTCCTGTCAACCAGCAATGTATTTTTATGTTACTAAAACCAGTAATGTCGTAATTGTTGAGGGCAAGCTTCATTGTTGATAGTGCAAAGTGTCGTTGTTGTGATGTGTATTTATTTTATTCAAGTTTGAATATTGACAAGTGTAACTTAAGCTGGTGACTGACACCTATTGATCTGCTGTGTGCAAATGATAGTACTATTTTTTAGAAAACTCTTCAGTAAATTTTAAAAATATTTGAATACAAAATATCTGAGCAATTTTGAACTCAAAAGTTTTTCATTGTTTTAAGGATTGCGACAGGACTCTAATGGTTTTTAATGGACGCATATGCCTAATATTTACTTTATTGGTGTGTTTAAAATATTTTTTGATAGACTATTATGTCTTAAATGCTTTAGAAAACAATTGTTTGTAATGGACTCAAAGTGTTTCCCTGGACAGTTTGATGTACTTATGGTTGAGATTTATAATCTGCTTGTACTTTGCTTTTTAACTTATTAATTGTAAATAAATTTTAGAGAATACATAGTGTCTAGTTTTTCTAATGATTTGAACATTTTTGAAATAGTATTTTGTATTTGCATGTGACTCAGAAAACATCTTAATTTACATTTTGATAAATTTTGACTTTTTTGTGAACTTCAAACTCCCAGAAATCTTGAGATTTGTTTTTTGTGCTATCTCAGGACTCTGTGTTCCATCAATTCTTTAATTATCTAGCTAATTTCTAGGATGGTGCTACAAGCCCAAGTTATTAACCAGTTTGCCAGCAATAAAATATCATACAAAAAAATGCATCAAAATTCAGAATTCTCTAAATTCTGACCAGAGGTCCCCCTGTGATGATGACAAAAGGTCTAGAGCTCTTGCTCTTTCATAGCATGAAAGGAAGTAAGAGTGCTCCGTTTTAGTACCAGTGGTATGGGCTGTTCCACAGAATAAGGGCAGGGCTAGAATTTTCATTAGAGTCTAGAAGGCAGAAGTGGAGTATTAGTGAACAGCACAGCAAGGGCCGGATTCATAGATAGTACTGTTTGGGCTACATTTGTCATTGTACCTGAGTTCCTATTAGTTGGAGGCAGCGTAGTGTAATAGTTGTGGAGTCACAGTGCATGGGGTGGAATTATTATGCATACCTTTGTGACCTGCAAGTGTTGAGATGGCAGGTAAGTTACTTAAAATCTTCGTGCTTGAGCTTCCTCAACTATCAAATGTGATTAGTGAAAGAAAGTATCAGGACATTATAAGGCTTAATAACCACCCCTTTCAAAGGGTAGTAATGCTAGACACATAGGAAGTACTAAATAAATGCTATTAATTAGAGGTATGCACAGTGAGAATAGGTATATATACTGAGAGTGGTCCATTGTGAATTTAGCTCTCCAGGTTTCTCAGCATCCCAAGAATATTGTGTGGTCTGGGAAAGCTGTAAGATAAATTAAGAGAAGAGAATTTGTGCATGAATAAAATTGAAGATGTAAGGAAATTACATACTTTTTTAGCTTGCTGACTATGCAGTAGGAGATTAGATTAAGTTGATTTATAACAATTTTCATTGTTGAAGTTTTTTTTTAAATTCAGGTCTTCTTTTATGATATCTCTAAAAGACATTTGAATGTGCTGTTATGTGTTTTAAACTATATGAGAATTTATAACAGTAATAGATTTAAAGCTATTGATCCAAGAGAACTTACAAAAGTTTTGGACTACATATTTGCTTAGAGTAGGCTCAGTAAGTGTTGCTTATAAACTATGTTAATTTATGTGCATAGAACCAACCTAGAATCAGTTTGTATAAAGTTTACAATTCAGGTGTTAATGGAAACAAAGTGAATACAATAGCTGTGCTTGAAACACCAGAAAATTATTACTGAAAGGAAAAATATTCTTGTATTTGAAGCATTGACACACTCATTTTTGGATGTCAGATATAAAGCCTGTAATTTAGATCTAACTTCTCATAGCACAAAAAATAATGGAACATCCTCTAAATTGGTGAACAAGCCAAAGTTGCAGTTATCTGAAGTTGACACAAAATAATTTCCTGGAAAATTATAGATGAAAGTCATACAAGAACAAGAAGCTAAAAATTGAGCCTAACTGCAGATTTCACAAAATTAATGACTTCTCACTGTCATCACTCTCTTGTGTCTTGGTAAATGTCATTCTAAACCATGATCTGTAACATAATAAACATACCTAATGCCCAATTGGAAGGTAATAATCATAATAACACCAAACACTATGTTTAGCTCAGAAAATTTGAATAAGTAGTCTACTGGACTCAAAACTGGACTTATTTAGCTTCTGAAAATATTCAGAGAAAAGTTAAATTGAGATTCTTCCAAGTAGTAAAATTAACTGTAAAATGTGTACATATTTCTCTTTTTAAGGATTTTTTAAGTACATATTCTTTAAAGAGTACAGAAAAAAAAAAGACTGTGACTTAGGGTTCTAAATCTTACAAAGTAAAGGAATTATTGAAGCAAAAACATGTATAAAAAGTACATATAAATGTACAGTTTGATGAATTTTAATAAATTCAATAGGCTCATGGAACTAGCACTCAGATTAAAAAAATACAGTTTTGAGTACCCCTGAAGTCCTCCCTAACACCCCATCAATCATTACCTACTCACCTTGTTGCCCAAGGTAACCATTGTTTTGATTTCTTACAGCACATTTTTTGCTTATTTTTGAACTTTACATAAATGGAATTATTGTTCATATGTCTAGCTTCTTTCACTTGAAATTATGTTTGTGAAATTCATTTATATTGTTTTATGTACTATAATTGTAGAACATTTATTCTCATTGATGTATAGAATTCCACTGTGTGAATATTCCACAATATATTTATTCAAGTCTTGGTGGGCATTTGGGTAGATTCCAGTTTGGAACAATTATAAATAAAGCTTTGATGAATATTCTAAAATATGTCTTTTGGTGAACATATGCATGTATTTTTTTTGGAGTATATATCTAGGAATGAATTTGCTGAGACACTGGGTCACAGCAAATGATCATCTTTGGTAGATAATGCCAAACAGTTTTCCAAAGTGGATACATGGACTCTTGTAAAACTGGCCTTCAAATAGTTGGCTTTTTATTATTATTCCTTTCTTCTTCAAAGCCAAAGAAGTTTTGTTCCTTCTGCTCTTAAAATGAAATGAAAAGACATTTTCCCCGTATGTTTTCCTCTATTTTACAGCAGAGCTTTTAAAAAAAAAGTCTTTTATGTATTAGTTGTTTTCTTCTCCATCCTTTATACAAAATCAGCTCTGAGATTGGTAATAACATTAACTATGTTAACCCAAACCCGGCAAACTTAAATTGTCATAAAACCAAGCATGTGAGACTTGGGTTCATAGTGTTCCTCTTCTAGTGCTTGGACAGGATTCCATTGAAATGGTCTATAACATAATGGAGACTCTGTCTCTGGAAAGAACGGTCTGATTTGACCTTATATGTTGTTTATTCTAGAAAGCTAGACATTGAGAGGTCTAGGAGTTGGATGGCAGAGAGGGAGGGTTTGAAGACGTGCAGAATATTCAGGTTTGCTTGAAGTCAGCTGAGAAGAGGAGACTTCTATCTTGGGAGGTGCTGGCTCAGCAGGGCTCAACTCTCAATTGTTATGAAATGAATGAAAAATGTGCTCATGAGAGCCCACTTGAAGGATGCCTCTAGAACTCTAAAAGGAAGTTCTCCCTTTTCCTTATTAAGTAAAGCATCTTGGAGGATATTTATTCTACCCTTACATGCCCACAGTACTTCACACTGGGTATTTATGTTGTTATTGTTATACTTTCTTATGTATTTATCTCCTCTTCCCTCCTAGATTGTGAATTCCTCATTGGCAGGACTCGTCTTTCTCGTCTCTGTATCATTACAACATTGCTGGTCATGTGCATAGTGCTCAGTGGTGTTGCATGAATAAATTGTGTTTATGGGGTTCGGACAAACCTGGAACACTGGCTCCCAAATCTTACAGAAGAACTAGTTGTGTTGCTTCAGTTTTATGTGTAACAGAAGCAGTCTGTAAATGGAGTTATAATTTTTTAGAACTACCTATCAAATACACTTTTGATGAATTCCTAGCATTTTGTGACCAAATGAGTTGGCTGTAGACTCTGATGTCTCTTATTGTACCTGCAACCCAATACCATTTATCATCACTACCTCAGAATCTCTCAGCAAGAGGTAGTGTGGTGCAGTGGTTAAGAGGCTGGCCTCAGGGGACAGGCTGCCTGGTTTAAAACTCCTTCCTCCCTTTCTTGCTGGCAGCAGATCTTTTAGCAAGCTACTTAACCTCTCTGTTCCTCAGTTTACTCAGCTGTAAAAACAGGCACAATATAGCACCTACCTCATAGAGCTCTTATGAGAATTCAATGAGGTAACACATGTAAAACACTTTAGAATAGTGCCTGGAACATCGTTTGCCTCAAGTCAATAAATGTTAGCTTTTATTAGTAGTAATGTAAAAGACTTTATAAAGCCTCAGTTTGCTTACTTGAAATTTTTGTATTGGCATGTGTTAGAAGCCAAGAACAAAGGCTGCAGTCCATAAAATGTCTATTAGAGCCAAACTTATATGGGAGATTGAGGTCCAATTCACTAAAAGTGGTATGTGTGAAAGGATGCTGTAGGTGTTGTGAGGAGTGCAGTGATGTACAAGACTCAGCACAAGCTGATAGCAAAATAATCAGGAAAACATGGCATGATAGAAGAAACAAATTAACATTGATTTAATTTTTACTGTGCACCTGGTACTATCCCAGGCTCTTTATGCTTGTTTTTTTTTTTTTTTTTAAGTAAACCTCAACGATCCTATGAGATAGATAGGATTCATTCATATTTAGTAGATGAATAAACTGAAGCTTAGATAGGTTAAGAAATGTGCCAAATATCACACATCTAAGTGGCAGAGCTGGGATTTAAAACCACATCTGTCTCATCTCATTTTCTCTACTAATCTTTATAAACACTTTTAGAGGAAGTGAAATAAATTAATCAGCCCCTGGAGGAACCTCCTATAGGATTGTGAAATCCCAAGATGTAGAAAATCAATTTAGGAACCTTGTTTTGTTCACCTTCGCATTTCTCATGGTGTACAGCATAGGTGTTCATTCAATGTCGGGGAAATGAATGTGAATGAATGAACAAAAGCACAAATTCCTTTGCTCCTGTGATTAGATTGTTTAGTTTGGTGGAGGATCTCATGGCAATCTGTATGGTATAAAGTCATTCTGTATGTCTCCTCTTATAATTGCCACAAGCAGGTAAAAGAGAAGATTATTTAATATAACATTCGTCTCAAATTACTTGTAAAGTCTATAAAAAGTAGACTTCACAAATCTAAACATGGGGAGTCATAGAGAGCTTTAAGCCCTCCTTCCCACAGTTGCCATCCTGGAGCCTCTGTATTGGAATTCTACAGCTCCCACTGCAGACACTTCTTCCAATTTATTGTGATATCTACTCTGTGGACCACTATGAGACAAGGTGGACAAGGTTCCGAGTCCATTC